TTCAATATTTATTTTACTTTGCCGCGAACAAAGAATTAAAAAAAAAATACAGATAATATATAATTTAAACTCTATTTGTCCTACCCCCACCCCCTCAGAATGTTCAGAGTCCCCGCCCATCGTGAAAAATGTTTGAAAAATTCACTAGCACCCCCCCCACCCCCCCCCCCCCCGCCCCACCCCCCCCTAGTTTAAATGTGGCTAAAAACTGAGCAAAAATGGCGATTTAAAAAATTTCAAACAGTGCCAGTAGACGTCCACAGGTAAGCCTGTGCCAGTAAACAGAGGCCATTTGAAACAGGAAGTCATTTGTTAAGTCTACAAGGCCCGGTCGTTAATGACGTAATTCAGACTTCCGCTATACATTAGGCTGGGGTTTTAGTTCTCGTTAAAATTTTCTAATGAACATTTTTTTTTAGGTTTCATAAAAACTCGGATGTGATCAGAACTATGTAAACAGCATGTAACCACGCCTATCTATGTGCTTAATAAAACATTTTAATATGTTGGGTTTTTCGTGATAAAAAATTATATTATTCAATCACGAGTTATTTCGTGGAGATTAACTTTTATTTTAAAAAAAAGCTAGCCTTTTTGGTTAGTTGCCGCTCTACAAATGTAAATGTTACCTGAAATGTGTACATGAAACAAAACGTTAATTGAAATGTGTGCATGAAACTAATTGTTAGTTAAAATGTGTACATGAAACAAATTGTTAATTGAATTGTGTACATGAAACTAATTGTTTCAATACATTAGAATTGGTTTGTTTCACTCCAAAGTCATTAGACAAATAATAATTTATATTTACCATAAATTGTGCCTCAACTAAGAAAGCAATAAAATTTTGGTTGTTTGTAAATATATTGATGTTGATTAGCATGTGTAGTGGCTAAGGACATGTCGAGGACAGGTAGAGGACATGTAGAGGATATGTAGAGAACAATTAGAGGACAGGGGGGGAGTGGATTCAGGTGTCGTGGTGTTACTCGTCTGTAGGGGCCGGTATTTTTGTTCATTTTTCTGCTTGTGTACCTCTATTGCTTCCATTGCTATGTGTGTATCAAATGTTTTAAACGTAACGTATTGATACCGAATGGCAATTTTCTATCGCCGTTGTAATTTTCTTACTGTAAAGCGTGAAATTTGACTTATAATTTAGATTATATTTTAAAGTATTCTTAATACCAGAAAACGTATTTTTTTAGAGTAGGCATTTTAATTTATAAAAATAGAAATTTTTATAGTAATTAAAGTATCAAAGTTGAGAAGAGTGCTGGTAAATAAACATAATAGCACAAGTCTGACTCTTTAGCCTAACTAAAAAACTTCAGAGGACAACGACAACTGGTAACAAAATACAATATTAAAATAAAAAGCGATGCGGAAATTCCTATCAAATTTTATATTCAGTAGTCTGATATTGTAGATAAACGTAGTTTGCGGTTTTATGATGTTAGCTTTTTGTACAATGAAACTTTTTCAAACCCATTATATTGTTTTGAACTTTGAAATAAATGTTATGAAGGTTAAAATATGTGTTTTTAAGGAAACAGTCATTGATACAAATATAAACTTGACACGATATTTAGAAAGTAATGTACAATTATTATTGTGAACACAATTTGAAGGCACAATAAACAGAAATAAAAGTGTTTTTGTTTTTGTTATATTTTTGTAATATTTGTTTTGTATTTGGGTTTAAGTGTATTAACTTTAATTCTATGTATTAACTTTAATTCTAAATATGTTTTGTTGTTATTTTTAATGCCATCAAATTAAGGATTTGGCGTTCATTGTGCTTAAATCAATTCGACTTGATGGTTTACATAGTTTCATTTCGTATCGATCAACAACTTGCCTCGATCTGGGTGATTTCTAGTGAACAATGGCAGCTTTTCATATCTTTGCAGAACGATCAAAAGTTACATCATTAAAGTAAGATGTCTGAACGGTAGAGCCCAATACTTAGACTAACCACTTAGTACAGAATGACCGAAGGTTTGAGCCGCCGATGTTTGTACTACAATAAGACATGTTGGTCTACCTTTGACCTCTCAACAACAAGACCTGTCGGCCTATATTCAAACCAGTGTTTCTTTCAGACATTTTCTCCAGGGAGGGGGGGGGGGGGTTGTTATTTTCGGGGTATTACGAAACACCACTCTATCAGCCAGATAGCTGGCGAACGTACCCGGGTTCTTTTAGATAGTTATATACAGATGGCTTAAAGCCCTATAAATGGTAGCTAGCACAACAGTTAACGAGGACACGTACTTAACGTCTAGGGGATACACTCGATGAACTCCTGATACCAGCAACACATTTAATCCATATATAACTTTTAATATATGTACAAATTCAAGATAAGACTATAGCTTTATACAGAATAAAATGAATGAGTAGATATCAAAAACCCAACTTACAATTTGAAGAAAAAACACTATTTTACACTATCACAAGATATGGCACTTAGGAAAATCACCACAGCTTATACGACACTACTTAAAGCACAAAATATTACTTAAAACCACAAGTAATAAGGGAAAAATGCTGCTTAAAAACTATAGGCTACAAAATAGCGACACTCAAGGCTTTCTCTCTCAAAGATGTCAGGTCTGACTTGCTGCTATGGACTACTGCGGTCGGCTGCCTGCAGAGAAGTGTGCGCAGACTATTTGACACCTGAGGCAACCTGGGAGGTCACCTTCAAAACGCGAGACTATTGGTTGGGACACCTCCGATGTCCGAATCAACCAATCGAAAGTATAAATTATTGCATCACCACTCTTGATGGAAAAGTACTGGGTATATGTCTTTCTTGGAACTATGGAAAAGTACCGGTGGTTGCACCACAGGTCACTCATGGTTGAGCAATAAAAGTCAAACAAAAAAAACAAGACCTAAGTAGGTCACAGGGGGGTTCGCGGACTAAATTTTCTGGGTGGGGGTGGACACTTTTGTAAAAGTATATATTTCGTTTTGGGGGGGGGGGTAGATTTTCTTTGGGAAGGGTGGTCCCAACACATTGACATCAGCCTATTTGTCCCCACGGCATATTGACATTATTCCCAACATTTAAGAACTAAAGATGATATATTTCCCGGCATATCTCCACCAAAATGAGTATGTTAGCAGCAATAGGAGTGGGTTAGAAACAGTATTTCATTACAATTAGAGATTATTTTGTCCAGACGACTGATTATTTGCAAAATAAAAAATTAAACAACCTCATGGCTTAAGGTAGAAAAATAAAATGTTGTACAACAATAAAAAACGGACTTAAATCGAGGTCTTACAATGGTATTTTAATCGAAAACGTGAAGGAAATACATAAACACATATTGTCAGCAAAAATATGAATCGATGAAATACATTATTATTACTAATAGAAAAAGAAAATATTATAAAATAGTAAACTAGACCACCCATTATCCTTTGGATAACTGTGGGCTTAGGGGGCATCACAAAATGACGTCATACTTGTTTGACGATTTTCATCTTCGCAACTCCACATCCCCACTGTCTCACCTGTCTCACATCATCACGAAAGGCCAGGCACATCTCAGACAAAATGTTTTGCCTTAAAAAAACGATTTTGGCTGAGCATGGTGCTTACGACACTTCCCCTTTAAAAGCTGAGGTCACAATAAAAGATCACATCTACTTCACCTGTCCTGCCAAGTTCAAAAGGAAACTGCTATACATCTCTACAAATGAGTTACACCTCAGCTTACATAAAAAAAAACATCCATTCCTTTCTATAATATTTTCTGAGCTCAATTCTCATATGAATACCTACTGAATAAATTATAAAATCTAATGACAAACTATTATGATGCGTTTTGACTTCCCGCTTTGCACTTTCTATGTAAGAAAATTAAAACACAAAAACAAATACTAGCTGGGCGTGTTTCATACTCATTCCACTTGACAGAGTGGCTAAACCGCTATCGTCTCGGTTAGCAAGTCTCTTTCATTTAAGGGAAAATATTTCATATTATTTTACACACTCTCCCTTTAAATTTTGAAGGGAGGCCACTGCTAACTAAAACTAAAATAAGACGAAATTTTAGTTTTGGTTCAATTATAACCTACTATTATCGATTCCATAGCTATGAAATAAAAACTAATATGAAACATTTAAGGCATGAAATAGTTCCTTTAATACATTCAGCTATTCATTGTGCTTTTAATTTTTCTTGTTTGTATTCAATTGATTTTGATTTGACCTACCGTTCTCCGATAATTCTCAGTTCTTGAATTTAGATTTAGTCTCTAGATCTATATCTAGAGATCTAGATCTAAATCTAGTATGTAGTAGATATACAGCAGTAAATTGTTTCATTATATTCTCGATTTGAAAGATCATTCTGTCAAGTGTATCCTATTGAAAATTGATAATAGCGTTTCAACCTAATAAAAATATCATTCAGATATATCGTTAAAGCTATAGCCGGTGGACAATTTAGATGCATAATACATTTAACTTCTCATTCTGCAACTTTAAATAGATCTATCGACGTCACTTTCGGAAAATTAGAAAGTAATTAAGTTAATAAATAATTATTTTAGCATTCTACATCAGATTTTCTGATCTAACGATATAGACAAATAGACTTTGAAACTACGAACGAAGTTGTGTTTTATTAGTATTTAGATAAACAACATTACATATTTCTTTAAAACCAAAAATATTAAAATAACTTATGCTGAAAGTACTGATATAAATTAATGTACAATTTTATTGTTAATTGACAATTTATAAAAATCCACTAAAAGTGAAGATTATTATCAGACAAAAGAGTGTGGCTTTTTGACAACATATCAAAAATAATTTGTAATTTTAAAAAAAAATCTTGCATCCGCCTGTTTCACATTACGATAATAATACTGTTGAAATTTTCCATTAGTTTTTTCAGCTAAAGAAATGAATTTTTACTGCATTTTAGAACATCAAAAAATAAAACCACTGAAACTGATTTTTGCTTTATTTTTAGGCAAATGAAAGACAAGCAAATCATTGGCATTGCCAATGGCATAAATAAATACTACCTGTGGGTTCTCGCGTCTATCGGAGTGCCAGCCAATCTGCTGGTCATCCTGACCATCTTGACCATGCAAGTCGTCAGCCCAGTCACATTTTTCATCGCTGTCCTCGCATTCAGTGACGGTAGTGCCCTGGTCCTAAAGCTGATTTTCAATCAGATGTCTCGCACGTTGATGGTAACCAAAGTCGTCTGCAAGCTCAACTTCCTGCCCATATTCATGTCGTCTTTGGCCAACTGGATGCTGGCCCTCATCTGCGCCGAACGTTTTATTTCCGTGTGTTTTCCTCTCAAGAAAATGTACCTGGTCACCAAACGACGCGGCTATGTCGCTGTACTTGTTACAGCACTGATGCTGCTGGCTATTTTTATGTTCTTCTTTCTTTACATGTATCAAATTTCATATGGACATTGCACTGTAGCCGAAGGTTTTGCCTGGGTTTGGGCTAATATCTTCTACTGGATCAACGCTACACTAACTGTTTTCTTACCATTTGTAATTATTTTAACAAGCACCTGTTTTACTATCAGAGGTATATACCTATCTCGCAGTTCTCGTCGAAAAGAAGACGTTGAAAAGAGTGAAATTAACGAATCGAGTAACAAACTCAGTGAAAGGCTGATTGCTGAGGCCGAAAAAGTCGAACTTACCATCACCATCATGATGGTGGTGGCGTCGGTTCTGTTTCTAACTCTCACTCTACCGTCCTGCGTCTTTTTCCTTTCTATCCCGTATGCCGAAGCGAGCACTCAGAAGGGAGCTAAGTATGTTCTGTTCAGGGAGATCCAGTACCTTTTGTACGACGCGTCCCACGCCATCAACTTCTTCCTCTACTTCTGCACCGCCAAAAGTTTCCGCCGGCAGTTCTGTCGTCTGCTGCTGTGTGACTGGCTCAGAAGACGGTTTGGCAAGTCTCGCGCGACAGACGAGAGTGGAGAAATTGGTGACACTCAACAGGGTACCACTTCTGGCTCAGTAACCCAAGAATGAGCCAACAGTGTAATATTTTCGGCCCAAAAACCCAAGAATGAGTCAATAAAAATAGGCAAATCACACTAAAACTGAGCCTGTCGTACAATATCATTTAACTTTGATTATTTCTTTCCTCTATTTGGCTTGGGTTATATTCAAACATTTTACATTGTTTCTTAAACTAGGTTCAAGTATATATTTTATATATAAATTATGAATACTTGTACTATTTCGTTTGAGGGAGCTAGTGCTCCGGGGAGAGGCTGTACATTATCCCCCCCCCCCCCTTTTGCGAGATATGTTTAAATCAAACATGTATATTTAACATTCTAACCTATTATGTCATCTTATCGGATTATCAGCTCAACTAACTTGACTAACACGTAGCTAGAAATCTCGGCAAACCCTATAAAGATATTTGTATCATTGAATGACATTCAGCAAACACTATAAAGATATTTGTATCATTGAATGAAATTCGGCAAACCCAATAAATAAATTTGTATCATTGAAGGGTATTGCAACATTTTGCTTGTCTAAAACAATCTCACTTTCGTCCTCGCAATCAAGAGAACTAGCATCGGAATTACTAAAAGTAATTTAATGAAATGTTTGTTTAATTTTTTCTTTTGTAAAAGAACGTTCGTGTACTACCGATTAATGTTCAATTAATACTGATGTGACCAAAAATTATTATTTAATTAATGTTGTGTATAACTTTTGCCTTACATTTTATGACTCCAGTTGCTCAGTTTGCATGTATTATTTAGCAGGAAGATGGCTAATACTATTATACTGCTTTAGCTCAAAAAACATTATAGGCTGTTGTTTTTTATAACACTACCGAAAAAACTTGAAGATCTTATAAGCTACATCCACAAACATCCACACTATTATCTATATCTAAAATAATGTAACAAATGCAAGTTATTTCGGTTAAAAGCAGAAATTGTTAAAGAATCTCTTGCAAAAATAAAAAAAATACATACAAACCACGGATATGACTTAAAATTTATTAACGTCTTGACTTTGTACAAGGTTACATTAGCGGTATGGATGTCAGTATGGATGTCTGTATATATGTCTGTTTAAGGGAATGTGTCCGTGTATTTTGTTTTTATAATCTTGTGTGAGTGTTTGCTTGTATCAGTGTGTGAACGTTTGTACTGTGTTTGTATGATTTTGTGTGAAAGTGTTCGTACAAGTGTTAGTTATTGCATGTTGTTTTATGTTTGACTGAGTGCTGTGTGTTTGTGTAAGTGTTTACACGCCTGTGTGATTGCTTGTGTGTGTGTGTCAGTGTGTGTTAATGTGCGTGAGTGTTTGTGTGTTTGTGTAAGTGTTGTACGCGTGTGTGTTTGCTTGTGTGTGTGTGTGTGTTTATGTAAGCAAGTATTTGTGTGTTTGTGGAAGTTTGACTAAAAACTTTTATGCTGATGGTCGTAAAACTAATCAATCTGGACGCTGCCTAGATAAACAGATGGGTGCAGAGTTAATTCTCACTGCTTTAGTTTTAATGTAATTATCTTGCGCAATTTTTCAATTAACCAACTTTCTTCATAGCTTCAATTTTAATGTAATTCTCCTGCGCAATTTTTATTTAACCAACATTCTTGATAGTTTATATCAGTCCGGCTAGTTTATATCAGTCCAGCTAATTTATATCAGTCCGGCTAATTTATATCAGTCCGGCTAATTTATATCAGACCGGCTAGTTTATAATCACCCGTTGGCTACCTGGCATACACGAGACGACCCTCCTTTCTTTCAACAAAAAGCGATACAAGCTAGGCTTGGCTCTCATGCTAAAAATAACTTTCCAGGTAGACCACTACAGGTAGGTAAACTTGCAAACATCGGCTCACAGACTTAAGAAAGAAATTTTTAATTCTACACACTCAATACAGTTATAGCGTCGTGCTTATCTTTACTTCGCATTATAATTTCTGTGATATTTTTTTCATAAGAATAAAAAAATCTATTTTTAGGAAGTAGATAAGTTTTAAACGATTGAAGTATCGATTTATCCAACCACATATGTTTATAGTGTTTAAATCAGGAAAATCCATCTGCGATGTCTGTGCAAAAGTATTGCTTAACATATAATTTTGTTCAGTATGTATAATCTTACATGCTAGCAAATGTATTGCTTATCATATAATTTTGTTCAGTATGTATAATCTTACATGCTAGCAAATGTATTGCTTATCATATAATTTTGTTCAGTATGTATAATCTTACATGCTAGCAAATGTATTGCTTATCATATAATTTTGTTCAGTATGTATAATCTTACATGCAGCTTATTATACCCGTTTATTAATTATACAGAAGAAGAGCAATTATCTTTTAAAGCCAGAATATAAATGGTAAAACCGGGACTTAAAAATAATACGTAATTTTCATACTTGGTGCATGTATTGAGTATATTTTGTAAGCTGGAAACGTTTGGAATCGCCATTTAGACTTTGGAGGAGTGTAGTTTGGGGGGCCTGGGGGAGAGGGGGGTGGCTTAGGGACCAACAAATGTTTGGGCCCATCACAGTATCTATATATATAATTCTCTTCTGGTAGCCGTTAGAAAAGCTGCAAGCGCCTCCTTGCAGTCCTCTCTCTTTCTCTCTATCACTATCACTACCACCCCCACCCCACCCCCACATTGTCTGGTGAGCGGTGTTCACTCTAAATGTTTACAAAGCTAAATGTTTACAAATCGTAGAGCCGTAGAGCCGGGTTTCTATTAGGGACAGATAATTTAGTTCGATTTTAAACTTAAGGAGGTAACTAAGAAATAACTAAGAGGAGGCTGCCTTCATGGGGGGGGGGGGGGTGTAGGGTCGGCGTTAGGGGAATGGGGGGGGGCGTAGTGTTTTAAAGCAAATATTTTCAGTGGCAGCATTTCTACTGTCGAATTCACAAATTATGAATTACTGAAAAGTAGAAAATAAAACAACTAAATAGCGGCGTATGATACGCTGCGGGTCGGCTCGTTTCAGTATATTACATTTAAGTTCAATCTTCTTCTTCTTCGTTCTTAATTTTTAGTGTTGGAAGCCTTTATCTGCCAGAGGGTTCGAACTCGAGACTTTTTCGAATTTATCAACCATGAGCTTTTTGCCGACTCGACTACGCCTCCATCACAATTAAGGATACGTGTCAACTGGTTATGCGCCATTGAGGCCATTGACTCCGATTTCAGCCTGCTTTTCTTTTTGGATTTGCTTCCATAGCCTTTGTCCAGTCAAGAGCAAACTACAAGGCAGCAGTTGTTTGCTTTTGGAGTTGTCTCTCCTAGAAGAGTGGCTGGCCCCAGCTAACGAGCCTCATATGCCCGAGGGTTCGAACTCGTGACTTTTTGGTTTAGCAACCATGAGCTTTACCGACTTGACCACGCCGACCCCTTAAGTTCAATGTTTGTTTTAATTGCACATGAATACTTATTGACACATTTGCGGCCATACCACTTTGTACATGTGATGTTTCTGTAAGATATTCTGTTTTTCAAGTGTGCTGTCACTTTATTGAATAGTTCGCTTGGGTTTTATGAAGGTATAAAACATGCTGGAAACATTTCAAAAATCAAAATAAAACCTTAACATTTAAAAGAAAATATAATTAATAATTTCAGTCGCTACGTGTTAATTAAGCCCAATGTATCTATGTAAGTTTGCTTCCACCCCCACCCCAGTCCCCCTATACCCGACCCAGATTTGTTGAAAATCTTAACAGTGACCCCACATACTTTTGTATTGTTATGTAGTGGTGGGGGTGGTTTTGTTTCCTACAGTGATACTGATTTAAGTTACGGGTATAAAATAAACAGAACAAATTTTCAACTTTGAATTGAGCAACTCTGCCACACAATACATTCTGCCGTGTCAGGCAATTAGTTCTACCATAGTGGCACTTAATTCGATTCCCTTAGGAGCACAATAAGTTGAATACACAAATTTAAGATCTTATACTTAGATTATCCAGATGAGGTGCTTTAATCTATTTCCGGTTTCTAAAATACCGATAACTTGATCGTCGTTTTAGTTACATGGACAGAGTTTCATATATTAGCATTCGATGTTTTACACTGGTTTCCAGTATATGGTAATGTATTTTACAACTGCTATAATAACAATTTCCTGATGAACAATTTAATATTAAAAATTAGTGTAAATTTTTAAAAGCAAGAATTAAAATTATTGTTTTATTTTTCTAACTTTTAGGCTAGACGAAATCGATCGACTTGACAAAATTACCGATGGCATCAATAGATACTACCTATGGGTTCTGGTGTCTATTGGAGTGCCAGCCAATCTGATGACAATCCTCACCATCTTGACCATGCAAGTCGTCAGCCCAGCCACATTTTTCATCGCTGTCCTCGCCTTCACTGACGGTAGTGCCCTGGTCCTGAAGCTGATAGTTCATCGGATGACATTTAGCCGCCTGTTTAGACTAAGTACAGTCTTCTGCAAGCTCGATTTCCTGCCCGTATTCATGTCGTCTTTGGCCAACTGGATGTTGGCCCTTATCTGCGCTGAACGTTTTATTTCCGTGTGTTTCCCTCTCAAGAAAATGTACCTGGTCACCAAACGACGCGGCTATGTCGCCGTACTTGTTACAGCACTAATGTTGCTTTCTATTTTTATGTTCTTCTTTCTTTATATGTATACTTATTATCGCAATGTCTGCACTCCTTACCAGGAGTTTATTTGGTTTTGGGCGAATATTTATTACTGGATTAACGCTAGTGTTTCTGTTTTTCTGCCATTTTTAGCTATTTTTATATTTACCTGTTTTATTGTCAGGGGTTTACGTAAGTCTCGTATCGAACGTCGCAGTTTAATTCGACCAGGAAACATTGAAGTAAGTCAAATCAACGAATCAGCCAATAAAGCTAATGAAAGGCTGATTGCTGAGGCCGAAAAAGTCGAACTTACCATCACCGTCATGATGGTAGTAGCGTCGGTTCTGTTTCTTGTTCTCACGCTACCGTCCTGTGTCTTTTACTTCATACAAAACAACGCAACACGTTTATCGGTTCAAACAGCGTATTATAAACTTTTCTTAACGATTCAGTACATGCTGTATGATTCGTCCCATGCCTTCAACTTCTTCCTTTATTTCTTTACCGCCAAAAGATTCCGGCAACATTTTCTTCATCTGCTGCTGTGCCAGAATCTCAGAAGACGTTTTAGCAAGAATCAGACGACCACTAGAACCACAGATGCCAGTCGAGAGAGTCGGGACATGAGCGCCTCGCAACTGTCCAGCGT